CATTGTTCCTTCCTGCATATTATCGAAATTCCTGAATCTTCGGCTGCTGGGCAATACTCGGCTTTGGCAGCACCGCTTCGATTTGCCTTAACCGGGTAGAAGCTAATTCGTCTTATTAGTTAAATATGTGTCTAGTAGGATCATCCGGTTTGCATCAAAACATTCTGCCACCTAATCTAGCCATAGCCCGGAAATTTGGCTAATCAAATTCGATGTGGCTATTTTGGGTGGCATAATGTTACTACATGCGCTGTATCAGGGGTCAAAATGTCAGGACGATGATGGAGCTATTTAAAGGGTCAGAATTACAGGCGATACAGCATTAGTATTAAATTTTTAGAAAAAATCTTTAATTGTCTTTTGTACGTGTTATACAATTCAGAAATTTAGATTTTAATAATTTAAAAGGTCGGTAACTAACGTGCAACTGCTATTGCTCGCCGAAGACCAGGAGTAGTGAGGGGTTGCAAAAGAGCTCCCCTATAGGTTGTCCAGCCCAATGCGAAGCATTAAGAAAAAGAGCAAAACGGCGACATAACTTGGCAGAAAATGTTCGAACAAATCGTCCCAATGCCTGAAAACATTGTTCTGCACATTAAACTTGCTTTTCAAATCAATGGTCGTTTGCACCGACCATTTTATGGAAGGCTTAACGATAAGTAGGTATTTCTTAAAGTGACATTCTCCCATGTAAAAATGTCATTTTAAGGGTAGGCTTATCGTTAAGGCTTCTTTAAAACAGTCGGTGCAAACGGCTATTAATATAGGTAGGTACTATTTCTCCTTTTTTTATTTTTTCTATTTTTAACACCCCCCCGTAGCATTAAAAATGTTACTTTATCGCACTAGTGCCATAAAGTCTTTATAGCACTAGTGTTAAAAATGAAACATCAAATTTTGAGAGCGAACGTCAAAAAAAGTTTGTATTTTTAGTTATTTACATTCATATTAATGGTGAAATTTGAACAACTGAGATAGCCCGATTGGCCGCTTCATCTATATTTTTCAAGGGATCGATGCAACCCTCTTTTTCTTCTGTATTTTGTTGCATTTTTAGCAAAAAGCAATACTGACCACGACAGACTTTCAAGAAACTGACAAGACGTTTCATTACCTGTAAAACAAGGTACTGATGGTTGTTTGGATTTTTTGACAAATGTCAAATTCAATAATTTTATGTAGGAAAGATGCTTCCAATTCATTTAAAAATCCAATTTGTTACTGGTTATTGCCGTTTGTAGAAAAAATATTGTATGATATTTGTGTTAAAAGTATTTTTAAGGCACTTAACTTTCACATGTGTACTTTTAACACTTATATCATAAATAATTATTTCTATAAAAGTGATATCTTCATATTTCAGTAACAAAAAGTAACTATAAATACAAGCTTATTCAGAAAATTAAAAAGGGGAAGAAAATTTTACAAAAACGTGTACTTAGTCTTTGAAAAATTTAGAACTTAAATTTTTAAATATTGGGAATTCAGATTTTGCTAAATCTAAGTTTCTGAATTGTATAACACTTACAAAAGATAGTTATAGATTTTTTAAAATCAAACATTGTTTTTTAAATACTAATGCTCAATCGCCTGTAACATTCTGACTCTGAAACTAGGCCATGCAATAACATTCTGACCCTTTAAATAATTGCATCATCGTCCCGACATTCTGATCCCAGATGCAGCGCATGTAGTAACATTATGCCACCCAAAATAGACACTTCGAATTTTATTGGTCAGGTTTCCGGGCTATGGCTAGATTGGGTGGTAGAATGTTTTGATGCAACCGGTTTGTATATACATTTTCCATGATATACTAGGTAAAAAAAGTCAGTGTATTCATGATATTTATATTCATGTGATGTAAACATAACGAAAAGAATATGATAATCCCAAACCGACTTTTTGGAAATACAGCTGTAAATACTACACAACAACATATTCAAATTATATTTTGTTAAAGTAGGAAGTAGGTATAGCAGAAACAACAAAAATATAAAACACACAAATTTGACATAAAGATAAATAATTAGGAACTCAATATTTTTATACAGAGTGATCTATTATAAATTTTACCTCCTCCTAACTTTATCATTTGACGTTTTTGACAAAAGTGTCAAAATTTTCAAGAAATTGTCAAAAGTTTTCAACTAATTCAGTATCAAACATACAGGGTGCGAAAATTTTGAATTAATTTTCTTCGCTATTCCATCCACAGACGCGTTTCGACCTATCAGGTATCGTCAGTGTAGCTAGGAAAGCTAGGAAATATTGAGGTTTAAATGAAATTTCAATTTATCAACTTTAAAATTTGTAATCTAATTAGCAAATTAAATTGTAAAACCTGTCTTCTTGTTATATGAAATATGAATGTAGTTTCATTATAAAAAATAAAGGAATAATAATAATAATAATAATAAGGGAACGGAAACACCATGTATATACTGTTCACTTATTTGTTAGTCCCCTTCAACCTAAGTTCAACGATATACGGTTTGATATGTTTATCTTTAACAGTTATAGGGAAAAACGCGAAAGCCTCTTTATAGGTCTCATATTAACTTCTTTAAATAGTAATAACTTAAGACAACCTGAATTTATTTTAACATTTCAAAATCGATTTTACCTTGTAAATTAATGAATAACCTTTGAACAATAAACTGTTTATATTAAATAATTCTCTCTAAATTTTAAATGGTATTTATAATTTTTCTTTATTCAACATGAGACCTTGAAAGGTGTTTTCACATTTTTCCCTGTAACTATACTAAAGATAAACATATCAAACAATATACCCATATCCATATCGTTGAAATCAGTTTGAAAGGGACTAACAAACAAGTACAATATACATGGTGTTCCATTTTAAAAAATATAACTTCGCTCTGCTACACTTTTATGACGCACCCGGTATGCCTAAAACTAACGTAGTTGAAAACTTTTGACAATTTCTTGAGGCTTTTGTATTTGACAATCTGTTAAAAACGTCAAATAAAATAGTTAGGACGGGGTGACATCTATAATAGATCACCCTGTATCCTACTGAAGTCGCTACATACAATACCAAAATTAAAGCAAATTCACTACGGGGGCTCAAGCCCTCATTGCCCCCATGGTCCCGGCGCCTATGTTGGTGAAGCAACATTACTAATACCTGTTAAAAGGCAAATTGTCAAAAAGTGGATAATCTTACAAATTCTGACTTGATATAATAAGTTATTGTTCAAGTACAGGGTGTTTTTCTTTATGTATTGACTGACACCCCACCTACAGCCTTTACCTTTACTTACAGGTACCTAGATGAAAGGTGTAAATACAAAAGTTGTACAGTATTAGCTAAATTTTTAGCATCCATGGTCAGAAATAAAAATTGAATGTCAGAAATGGAAATGTTGCATGCTTTCAGCTTTTTTCAAGTGGGATGCCCTATATTTGGTTCTATATTCTCGAAGAGCACAATGCTTCGATTCCCAAAATGTATGGTTTGTCTATATTTGGTTGAGCAGTCTCTTATATGTTCGGCTCGAAAAATTATAAAAATAGTATCCTAAAGTTCATTCCACGAAACGAGATAGTAGAGGTAAACAAACAGGCGGAGCTTGAAAATTCAGAAAAGGACTGCAAAAATATGAATTACAACTAATGACATTTATTATTGTCAGGTTGTCATATGGGTCAATAAGTCTAATGCCGTATTTCCTAGTAGTCTACAATTATTTGAATAGTGTTTGGTGAATTATTGTTGATTAGTGAGCAATTTAGATTAAAACAATATCAAGTTTACCAGATTCCGCTGAAGAATTCTTTCGGAAATATATTCAGAGAAGAGAAATACAAAACAACCTATGACGGTTCAGCCTAGGGCGTAGTATAATCCTTTTCTAGCCAATAAAATTCGACTTACCTGTCAAAGTTTGTTTACTTTCACTATCTCGTTTCGTGAAATGAACTTTAGTATTGATTTTGTGAACCATTCATTCTATCTGTACAGGTGAAAGCTGCAGGAAAAATTTAAGGTACCTACTTGGTTTCTCTGATAGTATTTTTGAAATTTTTGGAACCAAATATATTGGAGACGGTTCAACCAAATATAAACAAACTAGGAAGTTTTAGAATCGGGAAATTGTGCTCTTCAAGAATATAGAACCAACTATAAGGCATCCCATTTGAGAAAAGCTGAAAGCATACAGCATTTCATATTTCTTACATTGACTTCATGTTTCTGACCATGAATTCTAAGAATTTAGTCAAAACTGTACAACTTTTGTATTTACACCTTTCTTCTACCTATAAAGGTAAAGGCTGTAGGTGGGGTGTCAATATATAAAAAGCCACCCTGTATATGGGATTAAATTCATACTAACAGCCAAGGTTGAGGAGGTTGTCAGAAACAGGGTGACACCATTGGCGTACACTCGATCGACCAACGGCTACAGATTTATACGAAAATACACAAAATTATATATTCAGATGACAATTATTCAAAAACTGTACATACTAACGGGGAAGGTAAAGGGGGTTGTCGAAAATATGGTCGATCGAGTGTACGCCACTGGTGTCACCCTGTTTCTTACACAGTGGTGCTATTACTAGAACTATAAGTTCAAATGAGTTTTTCAGGGATTTTAGTTACTCTACTAAGATAAGAATCGCTGAAACTTTTATATAGACAATATTAGCGATATTTCTAGTAATATCATTTAGATGTTTAGACGTTGAAACTTCCTTTAGATTATTGATAAATTCCTTTAGAAAAAATATTCTTAAAACATCCTTTTTTAATTTGAAAGATATTTCACATGCTTTTCAAATGAAAATTAATTCAGGATTGCCTAAGGGGCTCCTAACCCCCTAAATTCCAAACCAAATACTAATTTTCAGGAAATAGAGCTTGAGAATTTGAATACGCTGTCGCTCTAAGTCCTTCACCAAGTCCAAATATAGGCGCTTTTAGTGTTGTTTCAAAACTAGACTAGAAATTCAATAATCAATCCACTTACTTGGGTATAGTTGTAATTTGCATTACACACATAGCAACGAAAATTAACGAAGTACAAGCTATGTAGCAACGAAATTCTGGATCCGGTTGGCTTCTGTATTCTCTTTCTTGTTTCCTGTTACGGAACCAAAGTACCGCTGGATTGAGGTCTTCAGAGTGCCACCATTTTCTACACAGGAAAAATACAAAATAAACTCTGCAATTATTTTAAAATTGAACGCTCCATTAAATTCGCCATTGCTTTGATACAAAAGCAAAATTATTGTTTGGGTTGTTTTTGTAATCGAGTTGGCAATTAAAATTTATATTCAATTTGCTCTTAAAATAGACGTTTTGTTTTTGATGCTATTTTGTTTCGAAATAATACGAAGTTCTATACATAATCCTGAAAAGCTGCTTTTCAGAGAACCTCTCTTCAAACAAACACAAAACTTTTTAACCAACCCTTTTGTATATTTTATGATTGGATTAAAACAAGCTTCTAGAGTATTAGTATTTTGAAAATTTATAAAACCACCATAATGATAATTGAAATTCAAATCCAAAGTGGTTTATATATTATGTTTACCTAGTGAAAAGGTTTAATTCTGAGGTTTACATTTTGCGGCTTTTCATTTTCCAACGAACCTGGTTTCGACAAATGTGGTAAATTAACACGATTTGGGCTTTTAGAATTCGTCTGGCTCCAATAAGATAATTTGGCCCAATGGTATCAAAAGGCTTAATTTAATTTTGTGTTTTATCTTTTATACATATGTAAAATTGAATATTCAAAAACTTTCGAAATTCATTTATTTAAGAAAAAACTCACTTGCACTCCAGGCACGTCGACCTGTCAGGAAGCAAGTTGGACTCGATCATTCCCAAAGTCTGCGAAAAAAAAAAAGGAAATTTATATGTAGAACAGAATTCCACCCTTCAAGTCAGAGAAAAAGTTTTGTCGGAGTTTGTTCAAGCAATTAATTGGATTTCTGTTTTATTTTAGGCAAAGTGTATCTGAATGAGTGTAATACTGAAATAAAGTGGGGTGGCATAGGTAAGAAAAGTTTCAGATCTGGCAACCGATGCGCCTCTTTGGGTTCAGATAGTATATATGGGTAGATGAGTCGAAAAAGCCCGGAACACAATTTTTTTTTTGGGCCTATAGCAGCGTTGATAACGTAATCAATATGGCCCCCAATTTTTCTGTGACATGATTGTACATTTCCCTACCTATATAAGCATCAAATTTGTATTCTGATATCAACCTATATTATAGTGATTATCAATCAGGAGGTGACGCGCTTTCCAACCGGTATATTGAACATAATACCAGAAACACTTGCAATTTTTATTTTAATTTTTACGAAATATTATGCTAAATAACTTGAAATTCGTTATAGTTGGGTGAAAAGTCATAAACCTTTTTGCAATGACGTTCGTTGATGCTACGATTGACCTATAGTGGTGGTTCCATTTCTATGGAACCTGTGTTTGTTATGCCAGAATCATTCAAAAGAGCGTTTGATATTCCAGAAGCATGAAGGTTATTTAACCATGGGTTAAGAATCTTGCAATTTTCGCTGAACATGGTCAGCTTCCAAGTAGTATAAGAAATTTGAACGATGGGCGTGGTTTTTCACAATCATTAGTAACCCATGCAGCAAAATATCTCAAATTTTGCAAGAACAAATATGACAGTCAAAAGACGGAAAGACTATCTTGTGAAAAAGCGTCCATCTTGCTCAGACGAAACTCCAACCTACATCAAAATTGACAAAATTATCATTATTTTATTCAGATGTGAAAAACGTATGTCTATTTGTGACGAAGGAGAAGGTAAAGACAAACTTGTGACTGCATCCACGCTGAGTTTCGGGCCTAAAATTTATAGTCATGCTGTACAATTACAAGATGAAAAAGTATCAACAGATTTTGTAGCATCAGAAGCCAAATACCACAAACTATGCTATACTCGCTTTCTAACATGTTCATCAGTTGCTGAACGTTCTCAAAGATAAGAGTACTATAATCCTGATGAAGAAGTTGTTTATGGTGCAGTTATAACGGAATTGGTTGCAGCATTTATACCCATCTAGCAGTACTTCTCCAGTGTTTAAACTTTCTTATGCTACAAAATTAGTGTCCAAGCGCATGACTGACATGGGAATTCAAATTGATCTTATGTTTCGAAGGGGACGTTGGCGATGTCATTTGCGATACCTGTGCCTTTAATGACTTCAATGATAGTATGCGTCTGAAACGGCCAGTAGGGATATTACGAAGACAACACTTTCAAGAGTTACCCAAATTTGAAGAATCCTTTGACAATGCATTTACTGCTTGCACATCTGTAACTGCGGTTCTTATTCATTTTGTACGTATGTTACTCTGGTGTCGCACCAGAAATACCGGCAGCAAATAATGCAGGATTGTCAATAGCCCAACTTATTAAAAGATATAACAGCATTAAGCATGCCAGGCGCCAGGGTCCTTATTCTTGGAACAGGGGAACAGCGTTTCCGGGAGAACGAGTGTTCCGTCTTCGTTACTCATATTATCATTTGCATATCATTGAGAAAAACGAAACACATGTTCTCCTAGGAACGCTGCTCTCTTTTCCAAGAATAAGGACCCTGGAAAGAAAATGTTCAGAATGTACGTTACTGTCTGGAGAGAGAAACACCACTCTCACTATATGCAAGTTTCATGATTGTCACTAGAAAAAAAAAGCAGAATATAGATAAACTGTGTCGTCTGGGTTCGAGTATTCCATATAATCGAGTGCAAGAAATATCAGCCACAGTTACGAATGTATTGTGTAAACAATATATGGAAGATGGTGTTCACCCACCAAAATTGTTTCCCACTGTATTTCTAATACCACCAATAGACAACATTGACGACAATCAATCTTCTTCTACTGCCGTTACTTCTGTCCATGGTTCAAGTGTTACGATTATTCAGCATCCTCACAGTGATACAGTTATGGAAATTGACGATGACAGCGTTCGTATCCAGTAGTCAAACAATCTAATTGTCAATAGCGTCCCTGAATATAACACTACTCTTCCTGCAACTGGTAAAGTTAGAAAGTGACCTTTCTTTGCCAACTGTCAATCCACAGTGTGACAGTATACTGACCATGATCCTGCCTTCACTCCTAGGAAAGTCTTAAATCCTTTGCTCAACTCTGTCCTTGAGAGATTGCATATTAAAGTTATATGCATAAAGTATCGTTCGCTGCTTTTATACACAAAATGAACCTGGTTTCAGAAATATAAAGTGTAATGCGTCATCACTTCCACTTCTAAATGACGAAATTGCGATGCCAGCAATGGTACGGCATATGATGGATATCATAATAATGGTTGCAGCAAAATTAAATCGAAATCAAGCAAGTATGGCGAGGATCGCATCATATTCATGATAGGTAGTCATCAACTTACTTGCCAAGTGGTTTACTGGCAATGGATGGACTATGTGTGTGACTATGGTGATACTTTTTAACTTATGTCACTATGGTGACACTTTTTAACTTATTTGGAATATATTATTGTATTTTTTGTATAGTTTCCATTTCAATTTGACTAGAACTCAGGTGTAGTGGTTATTTCAATATTACTGTTCCCACAAATACAAGATATTTATGAACTATGGATTGAGTATGGTTGTAGGAGATACAGAAAATTAATTGCAATTCATAAGATTTGTACCACACTCTCACCGGGAATTTGCAGAAATTTGTTGCTTCAACCCTCTAGCTAGAAGGAGAACGACCCCCCAAATTTGAATAGGAGATAGGGGTCGTGTCATACCTCATTTTAAAGATCTCATCGAGTTCTCCATGACCTTAAAATATCGTTTTATTATTTTCATCTGTAACGAAATGACAGCTTGTCAAAATCTTGGAAAAATACTATTGTTTTAGTGGGAGTAATAGTATATTACATGCGGAGTTAGAAAGTGTTTCATTATTGTCAAGAGATACTATGGTTGACCGAGGTGCGAAGCGCCGAGGTCAACGAATTCTCGAGACAATAATGTGAAAACTTTCCACCGAATAATGTATACTATTTTATCTACGAGCATTTGGTTGTGATGTTTTCACATAACCATTTTTTTTTAGTATTTGAGTTGTGTTATGAGACTCAACACAACTAGTAGTGTTATAGTAGACAAGGTTATGAAGGTTGGTGATTTGACAAATGTCAAAGTTGAACCTCTGAAGGTAAAATGAAGGTAGACAACTACTAATAAACGAAAATAAGTGAAAAAACATTCTTATTTTTCGCTTTGTAGATAAAACGTTGTATATCACACGTGCGTTTAAACATGATTACAAAATTCGTGTGATTAGAACGACTCGGGGTATGATTAGGGCTCTCGGGAACAGGGTAGAACGCATACTCCGAATGAGTTTATTTTTTGTATACATATAAAGGCCGCTGAAACAAATTTTTCCAAGAAAAAATTGACGTTAGCCGTGTCCTTGACCGTGACCTTGACCAGTGAAATTCACATAAATATCAATTTATCGTGCTGAAATTATGTATAGCGCCAAAGAGCATCATAAATAACCTACACACCGAGTTTTAGCCTTCAAGGTCATACACATTCAGAGATACGGCAACCCCGCATTCTCAGTTTGGCTCTTGTCTTGGGAACGGGCTAGAAGGCGTAGTCCAATCGAGTTCATTTTTGGTATACATATAAAGGCCGCTGAAAGAAACTTTCCCAAAAGAAATTGACCTTAGCCGTGAACTTGACCGTGACCTTGACCAGTGAAATTCACGTAAATATCCATTTATCGTGCTGAAATTATCTACAGGGTGGGCCAATTTGGACACTTTTAATAGGAAACATCATGATATTAAATATTAATTACTTATCTAAAACTGGATATAGTGTACTGATTAACAACGGCAACCAAGCGCGACAAGCTAGATAAAATAAAAGTGTTCAAGTAGCATGCATTTCAAAAATGGGTTAATTTGGGTTGTTTCGCATTATTTTGTAATTCTCGATTAGGTAAGTTTACAGGGACTGGCAGTACAAAGACGGGTTAGTTTGGGTTAGTTAGCATCTTTTTGATCAGTTTCGATATAGCACAGTTATTGTCGGTTAAAGTGTACGAATTTCAAAAGTTCAGTAGATATTATACGCCTTATTATTACTCAATAATGTTTTTTTCAAAAAATTGTTTGAACACTTTATATTGATCTGTGTCAAAGGTTGAGAAGAGGATTCATTCAATATTTTTAAAATCCAATTTATAGTTATTTGCGCCAACATTTCCGATCATAAGACAATATTTTGGGATCAAACTAACCTATCTAAAGAAGAAGCATGATATTTTTTTGAAGGACCTTTACTAAACTGTTACCTTTTACGGCCTTTATATGTATACCAGAAATGAACTCAATCGGACTACGCCTTCTACTCTGTTCCCGAGAGCCCAAACTGAGAATGCGGAGTTGCCGTATCTCTGGATGTATATGACCTTGAAGGCTAAAACTCGGTATATAGGTAACTTGAGATGCCTTTCAACACTATACAAGTTTTCAGCACGTTAAACTGCCATTTACGTGAATTTTGATGGTCAAGGTCAGGATCAAGGTCACAGTCAAGGTCAAATTTTTTTTGAAAAAAAATCTTCTGACGTCCTATATATGTGTACTAAAAATGAACTTGATCAGAAAACGCCTCATAACCCGTTCCCGAGAGCCCAAAAATTACCCGACTCGGTCTACGACCTCGTCATTCTAATTTTCACACTCGTTATTGTAATCATGTTCATAAACGCACTTGTAATGTAAATAACTATTATTTTGAACCATATTAATTATTGAAAAAAATAAGGTAAAAATATGACAAAAATGGAATTAGGCAATCCAACGATGTGTCAAATATGGCCGACTGTTGGCACACATATGCCATAACCCTAAATTTCTTGTGTCATCAGTCATCGTCCCTTGTGTTTACCTTTGACGTTGGGAATTTTAAAATAATTAATTCCAGCTTTTTACAAATTTCTTTTCAAAATATTTCTAAATAATTGTGAGTGTGTGTTTTTTTAGGTCTCAAAACTCACAAAATTAAGCAATAAGCAGCAAAATACGCAGTCAACACAAAAAATGACACACCGTGCATTCGGTATTTTGATCAGAGTTCTCCGAGCTTGAATTTACCGTTCGTTTATTCAAAAAGTGTACTCGGAGCATGCTCATTTGCGTTCGTTTAAATTTAAAACAAGAAAATCTTTTGCGTGCCAACAATCCGTCAAAATAAGTCATGTGGTTTGAATTGCCTAATTAGGTGCTAGCTGACGTCACACACATAACCTCAATGACATGTTTGTCCCCCTATCGAAAGTTACGTTATGTCATTGGTGACAAGCTAGCGCCTGTGTGTTAAATAGTCCTTTCAAAATGCTTTGTTTGTCCCCCCAACGGAAGTGAGGTTATGTTTGTGACGTCAGCTAGTGCCTAATTAAAGTCACGTAGTTTGGATTGCCTAATTTCAACTGGCAGTCTGACACCGACATTGACATCTTATGAAATTTCAACAATATAAACACTAACATCTACTTCCAAATACAAACATTGCACCTGGATTTGTGTTTAGGTGTGAAAGAACAATTTATTAGAGCCGAAAAGTGAGTTCTCTAGGCCAAAAGTGACAGAAGAACAGTCACTTTCGGCCTGCTCTAAAGTAAACAAAAGTAAAGTGACATTTTCGCTGTGTTTTCGAACCTTCAAACCAGTAAGGAATGTGAAAATTACATATATGGTTCAAAATAAAAGTGACTTACCTCCCTTAACCAAAATACTTGAAATTGAAGTTTTTTATTATTATTATTAATTAGGTGTAGTGAATTGTAAATTCCAAGTATTTTTATTATAGGAAATACGTACCACTTTTACTCGTATTAAAACCATGGTCTATTTCCAAGATTTTGACAAGCTGTCATATCGTTACGGAACAAAATAATGAGACGATATTCTAGGAACATAAAAAACTCGATGAGACCTTCAGGAAGAGGTATGACTCGACCCGTATAGCTTATTCAAAATCGGGGTGGACTGATTTCTCTGGGACACCCTGTATAACGAATTCTAATAAGTTATTTAGCAAAATTACAGTGGCGTAGCAAGACACTCTCGGGCCCGTAAGAAAAAAATGTCACGGGGCCCCCTACGAAAGGAGAACCCTAAACAAAATTCTGGAGAGAATCTGTCATATTTTGATCATTATAATAACCTAAATCAGCGGAATTTAAAGGACTTACGAATCCATTTTATCAGATGATTTTTCTATATCCAGATTATCAATTGGTAACAGCAAATAATTCTTGAATTCTGTTTGTGCCATCTAAGGTTTGAATATTAGCCATGATGGGAATAGATTCAGCATTTACTGAGGTAATGAGAGGACCCCGCAATATTTGCGAATAGAAATTGGTTACCCATGATAATGGGATGAAATTTAAATATTTTATTGGAGATGTCGTAAGTAACATTTTCTACCATGGGCACAACATGTATATATATGACAGGTGAGGCGGTGTTAGCTGTCAAATATCGGAATCTAATATCCAAAAGCAGAGTAACTATGGCAGATTTTGATGAACAAAATATTGGCTTCTATGAAATCGATCAAGATAAATTGGAAAATGTCAACCATTTTTGACACCTGTCACAGTCACAACCCTGCCAAACGGCAGCGCTCATATTTTTCAGTTTTCGATATTTTATGATATAGGCTCATATGAATAAAACAGAAGCAGATGCTTTTACTTAAATTTTTTGAGATAAACATATTCAGCTTTAAAGCAGCAAAAAGAGATGCAGGTAAAAGGATTTGCTACATTTTATTCATATGGCTGATTATGTCATTTCACATTTTCAACTTGAGCCGCTTTCCAGCTGACGCTTTTGAGCACGTAATCGCGCAAATGCTTCAAGCGCGTGTTCCAGCCGTAATGCGCTTCGAGAACTGCTAACTTTTGCGTTTCAAACACCGAACACTGTGTTGCACCGTGCTTGAAGCACACAGCTGGAAAGCGGCTTTGTATATAGATTCTGAGTTCAAATATGTCAAAATGGTTAACATTTTTCGATTTACCTTGGTCAACTTCGTTTAAATCGATATCCCGTTCATAAAAATCTGCCATAATAGTCACTCTGCTTTTGGATTAGTAAAAACTGTGTTAGTAATGACCAGTAACACGTCACATCGCATGCGCCGATTGGTGCATCTTCTTGAGCAAGCCCGACAGAGTTGCCAGATTTATCGAAAATAAGAACGACCGGCGACAGGCCCCTTTCGGGCCTTAGGCCCATAAGCGTTGCTTACTCCCGCTATATGATAGCTACGCCACTGCAAAATTATTGTTCGATATAAATATCAAACTCGAGTTATATAGGGAAACGTGGAATCATGTTCCAGAAATTAGGCGGCAATAATGATTACGTCACCAACACCGCTAGAAGGCCAAGAAAATTTGTGTACCGGGATAATTTTCAGCTACCTCACCCCACTAATAATAATAAAATAGTATGATTTGATTATTCAAGTCTAAACCCCTAATTGCTTAAAAAATTTCCAAGTTTAAATGATGTCACAATCAGAGAGAGAATCTTGATATTATAATCAGACTTTAAACTTTTCGAAAAGTTTTGTGTGGCGGGAACAATTTAAGCTTTTGCAAACTAATTAAACATTATTGATTATTAGTTAAATTAGCAAAACCACCCTCTTGAAAAAAAAGCTAAATGTTATATAAGAAAAACACACGAGGGGCACAAGAGTTCAAACCTGCAGATATGTTGGAAACTAGAAATAAAAAAATATATATTTTAATTTTATAAATAATTAATTTGAAACTCATTATGGTGAAATGATCCATAGGAAACACCAATTTTTCCCACGATTTAAAATCAGGATATTTTTTCCTTACCGTTAATTCGATATTTTTGGCTAAAGTCGATTCAGCAATATTAGCAAAAGGTTTATCCGCACCCCAACATTCGACATATTTTGTCATTTTACTAGAAGGTCTTGCTCTCGTTGGAGGTCCACCAGGAGTTGCATTACCTTCGAATTAATCAATAATTACCTTTCTTATATTATTTATAATAATTAAATACTCACCATGAATCGAATTATCACCAATACTGTTATTTCTTTCCGAATTCTGAGGGCTCGGTTTCAGGTTGCCGTTTTGCAATTCCTGATTCTGAAACGTAAAAATCAGGAATTCATGCCGCATTTTTGTGAAATTGCTGTCGTTTGATATTAAATAAAGAAGATTTGAATACGACAATACGATTTTGGATGGCATGCTGCAAGGACAGAATATAGGTATTTCGTAATTTTACGCTTTATTGAGTTTTTGAATATAAATTGTCAATTTCCCTCAGATAATGTCAGAAATACATCCATATTATAATCTTTTCATAAATGATAAGGGCCTGGTACAATTTGGGTAAAAATTTCCCCCTAATAAATGCCCATAAGCAAAATTGAGACAATTAATATTTAGCTTGGTTAAGAATTGTTTGAACAAGACGAGCCTATAGGGATAATATACGAGCCGATAAAGGATAATATTTTATCCTCCAACTCGTGTCGACAGGCCATAAATTTCGTCTCCAAGGAAAACGATGTTTTTCCAATTTCCCGATCCATTGAATTTCAAAGTGAAGGTAAGAAATTACATTTTTAATCAACCCTAACTACGAAAATGAAAAATCAGGAAATTGGAAAAATTCCCTACGTTGTTATCGAGTATTAAGTCACAAGTTCCTAATTTACAGTGTAAAAATGCTTGTTAAAAATCCTAGAGCTTCTAATATTGATTGTTGAGGCTAGAGTTCTTCCTTTAATGCTTCTGAAGCCTTACCTAATGATTTCTGAAGCTTCAATGAATTTTAAGGCACACTTCTTCTTAGGAATAGATTCTTAAAGTTTCTGGAATTATTTCTTCTAGTAATGATTAGTATTTCAGAGTTATTTGATGTTATGAAACTTCTGATTTCGATTCTTGAAGCTCATTTTCCCAAAACGAACAAAAAATATCTGTGAACATTATATGCTTACACGTGGAGTCATAGGTTGGTGATAAAGAGCTTACTGCTGATTAAATAAATAAGTTTTAAACTTTTTTTTTGAAAAATCGCTTCAGAAATTAAGTGGTTATTAATATGATATTTATTCACGTACCTAATGTGCTATCTGATAGGAAAATGATCTTTTAAAAAGTTCCTTACTATGTGCTGGAATACTTAACAAATTCTTTCGTCGTACATCAGCTCTATGTTTCATTTTATTTGTTCATAACAATCGGAAGGAGCTACCATACATATCTATCGCCAATCCACCCTTGAGGCTCCTTATAGATACCGGCGCAACGAAATCATTTATCATTCATCGTTACTCCTTTCTCAGGACTATCCTGGTCACATTCCCATGTTTCCAGAATTCAACTCAAATTCATATCTACACTACGAAGCTAATTTGTCAAGATCTCTGTCAGCACATGACAAGATTCCTGAAATCTGAACTAATCACCTAAGTTCAGAGGAAGGAAACGCAATATAAAATTTATGTAGGAAGTATGCAGACATTTTCCATTATCCAGACGTCCCTGACCTTCACAAACCAGATCAAACACCATATTAGAAAAGATGAAATTCCAGTGAACACCAAGTCATATAGATATCCACATATCCATAAAAAAGAAGTAAAAAACCAGATATCTCCCATGTTGGATCAAGGAAATATCAGACCAAGCCAGTCTTGGTCTTCCCCGATATAGATAGTTCCGAAAAAACCAGACGCCTCTGGAAAAATGAAATAGTGGACTATAGGAAAGTAAACCACAAAACTATCGACGATAAATACCCAATTCGAAACATAACAGACATCTTGGACAAACTTGGTAGATGCCAGCAGGTACTTCACGACCTTGGATCTGGCGAGTGGTTTCCACCAAATCGAAATGGCTAACGAAGATATATGCAAAACTGGCCACTACGAATATGCCCGGATGCCGTTTGGACTAAAAAACGCTCCAGCTACGTTCCAAAGGGTAATGAATAATGCTTTGAAAGGCCTCCAAGGAGTGTACATGGACGATATCATTGTATTCAACCTCATCACTTCAAGAGCATCTGGTTTATCTTTCAAAGTCTCAGAGAAACTGGATTCAAAATTCAAATGGAAGTTGCCTTTCTTGGACATATTGTTACACCAAAAGGAATAAGACCAAATCCGGTTAAAATTAAAGCCATAGGTACTTGACTATCCAATACCGCGAACCACGAAGGAAATCTAAGGCCTCCTTGGATATAACAGGAAGTTTATCAAGAACTTCGCTGAAATTATTGAACCTCTAACTTCCTGCCTCAAAAAGTACGCTAAAATAGAACTGACACCAGAATTTTTGAACTGTATTAGAACTTGCAAAAATTTACTGACAAATCAACCTCTTCTGCAATATCCAGACTTCAGCAAGTCTTTCAATCTAACTACTGAGGTTAGCAACTATGCAATTAGAGCTATACTATCCCAAATACCAATCAACAGCTATAAGCCCATTGCATACGCCTCCAGGATACTGAACGAAACCGAGTTGAAATATTCCACCATTGAAAAGAGAATGTTAGCTATAATCTGAGCCACCAAGTACCCCAGGCCCTACTTGTTTGGGGGAAAGTTCAAGATACTTTCAGATCATCGTCTTCTCCAATGGCTTTTTTCCATAAAAAAACAATGGTTCTAAAATAGTTAGATGGCGTTTAAAGCTGGAAGAGTTTGATTATGAGATAATCTATAAAAAAGGAAAATCAAACACCAATGCAGATGCTCTGTCCAGAGTCGAAATCCATACCAAAGAAATAGCTCAACCACCACAAGGCGAAGATAATTCATCTTTGTAAAACAATCCAGAATCAATCCTCGACATAGACAAAGTTCTAGAGAAAACGAAGATCTTTATGTTCTTTTATACAACATCCTTAAAGAAACTTTTAAAAATTCTGCATTCGACTTCATCAAATGCAACTTTCTCCTAGAAGACGTCAATAGCAAAGAAAGCAAATGATCCAGGCCTATCATCAAGAAAATTTGATTTTTCTCAAGGTAATCAAGGAATTAACAAAACCGAAAGAAATATTACTGGCCTAACCTCAAACAAAATATTGAAAATATCATAAATGTTTGCAACAACTACAATAGGAATCCAGCCAAACCTAAATTCATGATTACTCCAACACCGTCTAGATCTTTGGAAATTATTCATCTAGATACCGTTCAAGTCGGAGGGCAAAAGTTTTTAACAATTATTGATTCCTTCTCCAAATATGGACAAGCCTACCCCATAGAGGGATCAAATTCAGTGAATGTTCTTAATGCCCTCCTAATCTTCATAACTCATCATGGAATATCACACATATCAATAGTGGAACAGAATTTAAGAATGGACTTATGCAGGAATTTGTAGATACACATTAAATATCCGTTCATTATACTACCCCTGATAACCCACAATCCAACGGGATTATAGAAAGATTCCACTCCACCATTATCGAACATCTGAGAATACTTCGAGAAAATAAAAAATTCTCAAGCGTTAAAGAAAAAATGCCATATGCACTTCTCGGAACAAATACGATAGGAATCTAGCCAAACCTAAATTCATGATTACTCCAACATCGACTAGACCTTTGGAAATTATTCATCTAGATACCTTTCAAGCCGGAGGGCAAAAGTTTTTAACAATTATTGATTCCTTTTCCAAATATGGACAAGCCTACCCCATAGAGGGATCAAATTCAGTGAATGTTCTTAATGCCTTCCTAATCTTCATAACTCATCATAGAATATCACACATATCAATAGTGGAACAGAATTAAAGAATGGACTTATGCAGGAATTTGTAGATACACATTAAATATCCGTTCATTATACTACCCCTGATAACCCACAATGCAACGGGATTATAGAAAGATTCCACTCCACCATTATCGAACATCTGAAAATACTTCAAGAAAATAAAAAATTCTCAAGCGTTAGAGAACAAATGCCATATGCACTTCTCGGATACAATAATTCTATCCATTCAATGACAAACTTGCGACCAATGGATATATTGACTGGTCACCTGGATGCGCAGGAGCCATTTGGAGTTGACGTCAGGAAAACACTTATAAATAATTATATCCAGCAATACAGGAAAAAAACCAAGACTATCTACAGAAAATTGAATCTACATGCTATATGAATCCAAAGAAAAGTACCTACATAGGAAAAAGAAACATAACCAAGCAAACCCCTCTCACCTACAAACATAGCACGAAGATCTACACCAGGAAAACTGTAAAGCGGAAAAAAACTACTTCCAAGACACTTAACACTGACAATATTGTGACCATTGACACTCAAGACACGGCAATACATAAAAAGAATATTAAAAACCTTCCAAGAAATAGCTCTAGAAATTCCTTACAGATGTTCTTCAACTGTCGCTTATAACCTTCTAATCCAGAACCTAAAGGACAATCCAAGAATACTTTCCCTCAAGCTGGGACGAGCAAGGATTCAGAGTAATACCCACAACTTCATTCACTTTTTTGACCTCTCCCAGTAATTAAAGAATTTCATTCTCTGGAAAAACAATACGAATCAGTAAGATCAGCAATAGAAAATGGACTGTGTCACCCATACTTCAAAAGCCTGCAAAATTTCGATTAAAGTTTACAGTTTCTGTTAAAAGCCGCCACAGAAAAACTTCGTAACCATTTTATCTATCCAATGATACAGGAGAGGAATTTTCTACTACACTATTCCGAAATCCAGCTTCCTTATATCTATACGAAGAAGATATACCTAGGTAAGTACAATGATTTAATTAGCATTGATGGATACTTCTCAAATCACATAGTCCCCATTCTGTCACCAGAAATTTTCACATATTTTAATTTTTTTTCAATACTCACTACGAATCATACCACCCTAATTCCTTCTACTCCCTATTTGGCCCTAAGCAAAAATTTATTTCAATACACGAAAGTTTCATACCGTAAAATTGATTCCGAATACCTATGTCACGAGGGATTTTTACAAGATAACAAACCACGATTGTATGAGCCAAATACTTCAACTAAGCAACCAATAGCAAATACCTGTGTCAATCAACACCACGTTAATACAAGATGCTCATTATATAGCCATATTTCCTAGGCCTACGAAAGTATCAACTGATTGCCCAATAATCAAGATAATGATTCTCAAAAAAGTATTCTTAATCATCCTGATGTGCAAGTATGTTCAGAACCTGAAGGCCAAAACGAAATTTGTCAACCTTTGAAACGTCGAGGGTGCAATTCGTAAGCCGAACGGTATTCGTGCGTTACGAAACGTCTCAAAAGGGCAGATGAAAGTAGTTTTGTCTCTATCACTAGGCTTAACTTAACTTATCTGATAACCGGATCTCAAATTTAAGTTTGTCATGTACTGAGTTATTTATGTTCTGCATGGAGTTTACCATCAGGATGCGAATTCAGAACTTCCAGTGAAAACTTCTTGTTAGGGCTTGATTTAGAGAAAAATTGAACTTTTTATTGAAGAATTAAGTTAGCTGATTACTGAAAAATGTGTATGGTTCATGGATTATGAATCTATTTATTCTAATTTCGAGCCTGAATATATGATCAAAGCTTGAATTCACAACTATAGAAAATGTATCCACAAACGTGCCCAAAAGGCATTTTATCCCAATTATGCTCCAATAAGCAGTTTGTCATCCAATGAAATCCAAATTGTTTATTTAAACTCATTACTGGAATAAACATCCTTTTAATTAAAGTTTGGACTTACAATTAGATAGCATATCTTGTTCGAAATCGTACATGACAATTTATTTCCTATTTTCAAATAACATAAAATCGAATTGTAGCACAAATAACAATCCATGAGCACGAAATCCCTGGAAATAAATGTCAACATATGGAAAACCCCCTTGGGGATTCTCGTTGAAACGTCCTGCCGGAATTATCCCGGCCAGAACATCCGAACCTATTTGGAAAATAAGATCCGAACATACAAGTACATTGTTTGTATTTTAATAATTGGATTATAAGCGATTTGTCTTACCTTTGGCGGTACAATTAGGTAAGTTTCGATTTTGTGATCGGCTAGATAGCCCTCTCTGCTGGCTCCATTTCCCGGCTCCACTTCGAAACGGTCGCCTAATTGATGCAGAGTGGCTTTGGTTATGTGGACTCGACTGGAACAGAAATTAAGTATAGAATTAATCTTAATTGAACTTGGAGTTTTATTGATTTTGGATCTAAATCCATTGATTCATTATTCGTTAATTTTAGTTGAACTTTAGGTTAGGGTTTCCATACGTTCGGATTTACCCGGACATGTTTGGGTTTTTAAGGTGTCCGCCGTCCGGGGAAGTCCGGCCGGAATTCGGAAGAATGTCCGGAAAACTTGGAGATCGTGAAAACATTCGTATTCAGTTTACATACTAGTGCAGCGTGAAGTAATGTCAATGACAGATATCGATACTGTCATTTTTTTGTAGTAAATTAGGTAGGTACTTCACTTTACGCACTAGTGCGTAAAGTATTTGTCTGATTTTTTTTTTTACACATATGTTATTGGTAGTAGAAAGTTTTTTGTATATGCAATACGTGTGTAAAGTGAACCTTTTTTCACGAATGTGAATTTTGTCGCACTCGTCTCATCTTTCACTTTACACACTTGTTGCATAAATAGCTATTTCGGCGAAGTACGGGGATTTTGTGCGGATTTCTTGACTCTTTTGTCCTGAATTCGGGAGAACCTTTATGGAAACCCTAGTTTAGGTGCAACTTGAATAGGGAACAATCATATTTTTCAAATTATTTCTTTTCCTATTGCTTATGTTTTCAAATATAAAATACATATGTTTTCTTTTGTATTATGTCCTCATTGAAATAAAAAGAATTTATAAAATTTCAAATTTTTTCCGTTGGCGCAAAAACGATTACCTTCAAGATGTCGGTACTTGTGACGTCAACTTGTTTGTAAAAACAACATTGAATCATTAAGTAAGTGTGTCCATCTGATTGTAAAAATCGTAGCTCCATTATCCTAAACTATTTTTTCATAAAATTATACATAGTATGTTGAAGCTGAAAGCTTCCTTATTAAATAAAAAATATATGGTTAATCTAGATTCCAGAATTTTTACAAAAAAAATCAGGGGAGGCCATCAACCCATGGCAAAGATATCACTAAGTGTGTCTATCTGATTGTAAAAATCATAGCTCTGTTATCCTAGGCTACTCTTCTATAATATTTTCAGTATGTTGAAGCTGAAAGCTTTCCTAATAAATAAAAAAATATTTGGTTCCTCCAGGTTTCCCATATTTCCAGAAAAAAAATCAAAAATTAGACCATTGACTCTAAGATAGAAACATCACTCAGTGTGTTTATCAAATTGTAAAAATCATAGCTCCGTTATACTGGGTTATTTTTCCATAAAATTTCAATATGTTAAAGCCAAAAGCTTCCTTAATAAATAAAAGAATATTTGATTGATCCAGGTTTCCAGAATTTTTAGAGAAAAAAAATCAGGAATAGGGCCATCAAGCCATGGCAAAGATATCACTAAGTGTATCTATCTGATTATAAAAATCATAGCTCCGTTATCCTAGGCTACTTTTTCATAAAATTTTAGTATGTTAAAGCTGAAAACTTCCTTAATAAACAAAAAAATATTTAATTAATCCAGGTTTACAGAATTTTTAGAAAAAAAAATTAGAAATGAAGTTATCAGGCCATGGCAAAAATATCACTAAGTGTGTTTATTTGATTGTAATAATCATAGCTCCGTTATTCTGGGTTATTTCTCCATAAAATTTCAGTATGTTGAAGCTAAAGGCTTCCTTAATAAATGAAAAAATATTTGGTTAATCCAGATTTCCAGAATTAAAAAAAAAAAATCAGGAATGAGGCTATCAGATCATGGCAAAGATATCAGAAATGTGTCTATCTGAATGTATAAATCAAAGCTCCGTTATCCTGGGCTATTTCTCCATAAAATTCCAATATTTTGAAGCTAAAAGCTTCCTTAATGAATGAAAAAATATTTGGTTAATCCAAGTTTTCCAGATTTTCAGAAAAAAAACGAAAATTAGGCCATTGACTCTAAGGCAGAAATATCACTCAGTGTGTTTATCGAATTGTAAAAATTATAGCTCCAATATACTGGCCTATTTTTCCATAAAATTTTAGTATGTTGAAGTTAGAAGCTTCCTTTATAAATAAAAAAATATTTGGTTAATCCAGGTTTCCAAAATTAAAAAAAAAGGCCATCAAGCTATGACAAAGATATCATTAACTGTCTCTATGTGATTGTAAAAATCGTAGCTCCCTTATCCTAGGCTAATTTTCCATAAAATTTTAGTACGTCGAAGTTGAAAACTTCCTTAATAAATAAAAATATATTTGGTTGATTCAGATTTCTAGAATTTTTAGAAAAAAAAATCAGGAATGAGGTTATCAGATCATGGTAAACATATCACTAAATGTGTGTATCTGAATGTAAAAATCATAGCTTCATTATCCTAGGCTATTATTCCATAAAATTTTAGTATGTTGAAGCTAGAAACTTCCTTCATAAATAAAAAAATATTTGGTTAATCCAGATTACTAGAATTTTTAGAAAAAAAATCAGGAATGAGGTTATCAGATCATGGTAAACATATCACTAAATGTGTGTATCTGAATGTAAAAATCATAGCTTCATTATCCTAGGCTATTTTTCCATAAAATTTTAGTATGTTGAAGCTAGAAACTTCCTTCATAAATAAAAAAATATTTGGTTTATCCAGGCTTCCAGAATTTAAAAAAAAATCAGGAATGAGGCCATCAAGCTATGGCAAAGATATCATTATCATTATCACAGTAAATAAAAAATTAATGATGAAATAAAAAATACTTAATTTTTTCAATGTATTTCTGACATGGGGTGCAAGTGCACCCCTTTCATCCTGCTAACGCCGCCCATGTGATTGATACAGGATTTACAGAGGTGCAATATTTCCTCTATAGACCCATTTATGGTGGTTCAATATCAGTTGTGGCGTGACGTGAGCTGATTGTGGACCAATCGTTCTTCAGGACCCAAGAGTGAACCATAAAAGCGTATTCAATATTTTACAGAAAAATGTGCATCATAAAAACAAAATGAACTATATTTATTTCTCATGAGAATTCCCTATTGCGTTTCGTTTCCTTTTGGACAGGCGAAAGAATTATACATACTGATAATGGCTAAGAGTTTTCCAATTATAATTTTGCCTAATATCACAGCTTATTGTTTTGCTATTCATTTCATCGTTAAACTATTCATAATTTGATTGGCTTTCAATTATGTTGAAGTTCAGTGTAAATTGAGATGTTTTTCGACAAGAGATAGTTATTAGTCCTCGTAAATCACGTATACGTTTCATTTCGCCCGTCCCGTTATCGAAATTGGGGGCCATTTGAAGCTCCATAAACCCCAAAGCGTCGGTCGTTTGGGGCTAAATTACTGATCGCTTTATTTTCGTTAAAAAAAAATTGTGTGTGTGTAGATATAAATTTGGATATTTCTTGATATAATTTCTAGTTCCCTGAAGCAAATGGAGAAATTCTTGCAAAGATGTAAAACAAACTTTAGATAATAAGCAACAATATATGATGTCGCATTTGAGAGATTGCCAGACAGTTGCTAACTAGAACGAATAGTTTTGAAAGGTATTTTGCATCGGTTGTCTGGAATATTGCGTTGATATCTTTAATAAGTTTGGAGCTGCTGGCAAAGTTTCGAGTGCTCAAATTGTACCTTAAGGGCCATCCAGTAACTGGATATCGAAGGGGAAATTGGCTTTTCATTATAGAAGAATCGATAACTGGTATTCCGGACTTCGGTCAGAGACTGGATTGTTTATAAAGTATAGACATAAATCTTCTGCAAATTTATGAGAATATTTGTATCTACTAGGTATTGGAATTATAGTTCAAATTTTAATATTTTCCAATTTAGAATTAATGGAGTTCTAATGGTTACCTATCTGAAATAATATTGAAAATGTTTCTACTTAATTCAAAAATTTCAATTTGGAAGGCTACAAAAATACCCCTTTTGAATAATCAAAATTAATTTTTAGTCCATTGAAAAGTGTGTTTCAGTTACATTCAATTAAAAAAAAAAAAGTGGCCACTCGTCGGTATTATTAATTATTGTATATTCCGCACCGTTTGGCCCTATCTATGCCATTATAAAGCCCGGTCAGATATTCGATTAAGCCTCGGCCCTTTGACATTCTAAATTAACCTTCAACGTATCGGACAATAATTATTGTGCCTGGCATTAATTGACTTCGCATCGGCGACCTCGAGAGGAAGTCTTTTTCACCCACTGAACCATAGTTTTAATCGAGAAAAATTGATTTTAGGCAACAGTCCCAATCCATTCAATATTTGGTTTGAATTTAATCAAAATTTTTGTACAAATTAAAAAAAAAAATCATGCATATTTGTATATCATTGTATAGTATTAGTCCTTTGTGGAACAAGTTCTTCTGGTCGAATGTTCTACGCACAGTTCTAACATAAAAGTTGTTTGTCGATCTTGTGAAATGATTATGTATATCCAGTACATTAACGCAGTTGTCAAGCAAATGACTAGGCACCAGTCTATGAATCATTTTGTAAATAAATACCAGTGTATTATAATTTATTGACTGCCGAACACTTAAAATACCAACAGTATCCAACATTGTTTTTATGTTTGCATATGTATTTGTGTCCAAAATAATACGAAGAGCTTAATTTTGTCTTTTTTGCATTGTATTGATTTCAGTGTTGTTTAGGAGAAACAATATTGTTGGGCAGTAATTAAAATATGGCATAATTAAAGTCTTGTATACTAGAAGTTTGGACCATTCACTCAATGTTTTTCTCATTCTGCCCAAGGCGTTTACCCTACTAGCAATTTTGCTAGTTATATAGGATGAGTGTTTCGAAAATGTTAAATGTTCATCTATAATAACACCAAGATATTTAAACTCCTTTACTCGTTCATTTTCAATCCCATTTACTGTCATGACTGGATGTTGTTTCACATCTATTGTGTACGTCCTAGTTCTAATTAACATACATTTAGTCTTTTCAATATTAAGGCTTAGATTGTTCTTATTTAACCATATAGCTTAGTTCTCCATTTATTTGTTTAGTTTGTCCACC